ACATGACTCGGTCCTGCCTCATACTCCACATCACTACGGAAATAAGCATATGGGATAGGCTCGAACTCAATCACATTTTCGTTGATCAATTCGGGATCCCATACGAGATGTACACCCGTTTTCTTCACCCTGAAACCAGATCCCATCACAATATAAACTTCAATGGAGTCTCCCCCTTCCAAACTGAGCTCCTTGTTTGATAAATGTCCTTGCCAAATGACTTCATTTGAAGTTATTGTGTAGGGATCCATTGGCCGGACAACGAAGCTGATGATCTTGGTATGATTCGTAATAAATATAGCAAAATGATTAAGAGGTGCGTCCTTGTGTAATGATGAAGAATAAACGGTGCACACAGTCAACAATTTTAAGTTAGAACCAGTGATTTGAGGCACTTGGAAACAGACTCGATCACCCTCATTGTCGACATTTGTGAACCACTTGGCAATATCATTTCCCGGGGGGAAAATGACACCATCTCCACTTGTTGTCTTGCGCTTATGATTCCTCGGAAGGATATGAAATTCGTTGCTAAACAAGTCGATGGTCCTGATATCCTCGGAAGAAGTTGAGCAATGTAATTCAGGAGGATATTCTCTTGTCAATACCAAAGGCCAAACGGAAGGGTTGGGTTCTATAAGTTTCAGACCACATAGAGATAAACGTGTCAGGTTCTTCAACCGTGCTATGGAAGAATATGGTAATTCTTCTATGGCCGTGTTATCTATAAGAAGAGTTGTCAATGATACCATCTCTCCTATATCCGCAACCAAGTTTTGAAATCTTGAACAGCCAGAAAGAACAAGAGTTTCAACGTGTTTCAACTTATAGAAACTCTTTGGAAGATCCTTGAGCATTACGCAGTCTTTGAGATTTACCAAAGCAAGTCTTTCAAGACATCCTACAGAGTGGTGAATCTCGAGCAAGCTCTTACAGCCCTTGAGTACCAAATACTCGAGATTTGGGAGTTTTGAGAAGTTTGGCAATTGTTTTAGGAAGTACGAATGGCTGAGATTCAGAATCTTCAACCTCTCGAGCAACTGCAAGACAAACCCAAAAGAAAACAAAAATCAAAATAGATAACTTGATCGTTATCTGTCAATGAGTTTCTATTTTTTTCATCTATTAAAATTTCAATCTAAGCCACCTGAAATCAAAAGGAAGAGGAAGAGTGTCTAGGCGTAAAACTCGAAGGAACAATCAATGGCTTGGTTAAGGTTATGATAGTATACCATAGAATGCTCACAAAACCGTCTGAGGTTGCTGTACCGTAGGTCGATAGAAACTAGGCTTCTTAATTGATTTAATGCTTTTTTTGGTATGAACTTTAGAGGGAATCCTCGCCAGCAAATCCATCTTAACTTTTCGGAAAGATGTTTGTACTCTCCAGTGAGCTGTACACGATTAAGTTGGAGCAATCTCAGACTCTTCATCTTTTTAAAGGCTTTCATATTGAAATTAGCTTTGTCTGGTCTTAGCAAATTTAGAGCGAGTCCTTCAATTTCTTCTGTTCCCTAATAAAAAACAGTGAATAAGGAACAGGTTAGTGCATATGTGCAAAAATGAATTACATACAAACATTTGCAGTTGTTATTCTCTTGTATTGTATGGAATCAAGTACTTACAGATTTGTCCGTCAGTACACCTATTGCATCTTCTTGGCACCACAATCTACTACACCTGCCAGGGTGGTTCGGAAATTTTGCACGCACAATTTCTCTGCCCATGTCTCGAAGTAGATCATGCATCACGAGCTTGTTTTTCTCATCAACAGTTACAAGGCATCGTTGCAGGAGGACACTAATTCCAATTTCTGCAAAAAACCCACAACCGTCCAAGATCCTTGTGACATAGTTCCTTTCCATTCCTATGAAGAAACAAGATATATCAAGGAATATTTCCCTCTCATCCTCATCACTTAGGGCATCAAAGCTTATTTTAAGCTTTTCTTGAATTTCAAAACGAGGAATTTTTTCCAACTTCTTCAATGTGCTTGTCCAATCTCTTAAGCTTCTTTTAAACAGAAAAGAACCTAAAACTTCAAGAGCAAGCGGTAAACCTCCACAGTAACCAAGAACACTTCTTGTCAGTTCACTGTATTCTTCATTAGGACAGGGATTTCGAAAGGCATGCCAACTAAAGAGCTCAAGAGCTTCTTCTTCCTTCATTTTTCGAGCCAGATATATTATATTAACTTCAACTTGCTCCAGTAGGTGTCGATCTCTGGTTGTAATAAAAATTTTACTTCCTCGACCAAAGGAGTCCCGGGCTATAGCTAAAGCATTTAGTTGGTCCACATCATCTACATCGTCAATTATGACCAGTACCGCTCTGCTTCGAAGTTTTTCTTTTATCAGATTAATACCTCTATGAACATCACCAACCTCCATCTTGGTTGGTTTGAAGATATCAGAAAGAAGCTTTTCTTGCAAATTCGTCATGCCATTCGATTCCTTTGCAGTTTCCCTAACATTTGCAAGGAAACATTTGTACTCAAAGCTATGGTAGAACTTGTTATAGATGGCTTTTGCAACTGATGTTTTCCCCATTCCACCCATGCCCCAAATTCCGACCATTTGAACATCGTATGATCCCCCGTCTAAGCTGTTAATCTCGTTCACCCGAGAATCTATTCCCACTTGGTAGACAGCTACATTTAAGTACGTGGTATCGAGTTGCTTAGTGATCTCGCCAATAATTCTTCTGATAAACTGCGCCTCATGCCTGTCAATTAGATTTAGAAGCGCAACTAAGACTCGCTATGCAGTACACATTCTGGCTATAGATCGATTAGAGAAAAACAAAAAATAGTGGTATTTGCTAGCAACAACATAATGGAGGCAGTCAATCAATATAGATTGATCCGAAATCTGATTCAAATCCAATATAGCACGTATGGGTACATAAGAAATTTATTGAATCGATTCCTTTAATGGATAGATCCGATCACAACTTCGACTATGGAATTCAAAGGAATCAAATAGGAAATGATAATCTGATTCATAGAACTATCTTATCCAACATTTATCAAATTTGAAAGGGTCAGAAGAAATGGTTCGGCTCTCTTAAGAGATCCTTGAATCGGGAGGTGAATGATTTTATGAATCAAAATGATGGATCTTGAACTAGGGAATCAAATTTTATTTAAGGTTTTATTATATAGCAGTAAAAGAAGATTGATAAGTTAAAGAATTATTACCCATTTGCAGTGTTTTTGAGATCCCAACCGGACAAATTTGAAGCTTCCGTAAGAGCAGCTCTCCACCTCGCTACCTTATCGGTATCTTCATGGAAGCATTCTTCATGTTTCTGAAATGCTTGTGCAAAACTAGCACTAGTCTGTTTCCTGACATGTGAAGGATCTACATCGTAGAATACTGGCAAGACTATTTGTCCAAGTCTTCTCCTACACTCCATGATCTCCACAAGCTCCTGAAGACACCAGCTTGAATCTGCATACCTCTTTGAGAAGATGACGACAGAAATCCTAGACCCTCGGATTGCCTGCACCAGTTCTGCTGTTATTTCTTCCCCTCTTCTTAGCTGGTTGTCAATAAACACGTTGACTCCAGCCTCTTTCAGTGTCATGCAGAGGTGGCCTGTGAAGCCGTTCCGTGTGTCTTCGCCTCTGAAGCTCAAGAACACGTCATGCATCCAACGTTTCGATGAGGAGGATGCTTCATGCTGTGTCCTGGTACTCATTGTTATGGGAGAGAGCTGCAAAATCTCAATTGGCAGGCTGCTTAAGGAAGGAAGGAGGGTCAACTCATAGAAAAGTCAACCAATTGGAAAACCAAACCGCACACAAGATGTATAATTCTGCTGTTTAATAGTTAATACAATTCAAACAAAAAACTTAGTTGTTCAATAATTAATTAAAATTATTATTATTTTATTATTATTATTATTATTTTTTTTTTTTATGTTTCACCACTGGAACACAATGTATGTATGATTGATTAAAGTAAGAACAATGACTTGCTGCGGAAAGGAGAGTTGGAGCTCCTGCTAAAAACCCAATTAAAAATCGACAAGTGTTAGAACAAGTGGGGTGATGTTGGTTTTAAGTTTTAATTCTTTAATTTTTTTGGGCAGGTGTGCAATGGTGATTGGGCACTTGTTCAATACATCAGGAGCTCCTGCTCTTCTTTCAACATCCAATCATTCTTCTCAATGTCCAAAGAAGCATAGGAAATTTGAGTACATTATACTAACATTAAGAGTGGAAGACTTGGCGCAAAATCCAGCGTTATGACGTTCCAGAATTCATATGGCCTACCCCATTTAGTAGAAAAAGACTTTGTTTTTGTTGTTGTATAATAAGATTAAGAGCACATCGATCCTAATCATGGATCGATATTTTGGGATTAGTGTTTGTTTTGTTACAATTTACAACTGGTATATTCAAGTGGAGCGAGATAAAAACATAATGTCAATTGCAAAGGTAAATGCTCCTAATCATTTGTGTCTTGAAAAAATTGCAGCATATAAGATTAAAGAAGGCTTCCTATGCTACTACTTAAAGAGATGATGCTTCATCAACCCTTGTGTAAAAAGGGAGGTGAATTTCACACTCAATTCTCCATTTGCACTCTTTTTTTTTGGTTTTCCAAATCTACCATTGAAATGTTTTATTTTCTTTTAGGGACGTCATTATTTGCGCTCCATCTTTTTCCAATTGTTTCGTAAGAGAACCAGAGTAGGCTACCACAAAACAAAAGATCTTTCTAAATAACTTTTATTCGGAACTATCATATATCTATGGTTCAGGCCTCTTACTCGAACAAGTAAGCAAGTAAAGTATGTTTTGGAAGGAGGAAATATGATGAGAGGACCAATCCACCAAGCAAACAAGGCCTTGCACTATTATTCTTGTTATGTTTCCAATCTACCACTTTAACATTTTAATTTTCTTTAAGGTAGATGATTTCCACACTAATTTTCTCCGTCCGTTCGACAAAGCAATGTGATTCTGTTTCAAAACAATACCCAAAAAAGCCTGAAAATCCAAAGGAACGTCAATTTTATTTTAGTTGGTGACAGTAGGATCATAAGTTTGCCCTTTCATCTACATTCAGAATGTAATGGTTTCAGCATAAATAAAATTTGAAAATCAAGTCTGGTTAAGAACCCTAGATTTGTGGCCTTGACTGAACCACATAGATCACTCCATCTTTTACCACCCCTTCAATGTCCTGAGGATGACCGTAAATGCCTTCTACTATCCTTCCCGCCTCTGCAATTCTCGACAAGACTGAGACTTGGAAGGGTCTATCAATAATCAAGCGATCTCTCGAGTAATCCAATACAATCTTCTCCTCCTTATCCATGATCACACTGCAACAAGTTCAAAGACACATTATACGGGAAGAGCATGGGGCAACAGAGATGTAAACACACTAAGCGGTTGGAATCGATCATGGGTTCTATGTAGAACGCAAAATGCATTTTTACTATGCGAATACAAAATGATGAAATGGCCGAATTGGCGGTCACTCTGTAGAAAGGCAAATAGTAATGAATCCTTTTCAACAAAACCCGTTTTGATGAAACATTCATATGACAAAGGGACTTTTGAACAGAACAGTATCTACCTAGAAAACTAGACTATATACGGATTTGACCATTCCATCTGCCTGATAAGCTAATGAGTAATGACTGCCCGTTTCAAGAACATGTAGATTGAATGGCTACAAAAACAGCACCATACCAGACCTTTCTACATCCTTAGGGTTTTCTAGTCTTCGAAAATCTTGGTAAAACATCTAAAAAGTAGGCGAGTTTCTGATGCTTTCTCATCTGGTCGTAGAGTAAAGAAGATGAAAAAGGGTACTCTTTGTTGTACATCTTACTACAAAATTCAAGTTCAGCACAAACCTGTCATAAAGCCCAGCACCTGCATATCCTTCCAGGTCCTCGGCATTTGAGTCTGATCTGAATATGATAGACTGCTTGCTATATAATCCTATTGGCTTGCTTGGATAACCAGTAACCTGACAGTCAGATTCATGTTCAAGATGTAAAGTTTCATAACAACTACCATTTACATAACTTCTCTCCTGTAACCTGGATAAAGTTAATAATTAATAAAACAAGCTCAAAATTTTCATGTAAAAAAGTTAAGAATTGGGCTTACAACAGGAGAATTTAGATTTGATTTTTTGGTAATGAAGCTCAAGGCACGTCCGGGATATGCACCCACCAAAGTCTCTCCCAAGCCCTTAACTATCTGTATTTGCATATAAATTGAATGAGAACAACATTTTTATTGATTTAGATTCCAGTACATCCAACTCTGTGTGTGTGTGTGTGTGTGTGTGTGTGTGAGAGAGAGAGAGAGTGACAGAGAAATTTGAAACTCGTAGACAATGCATACCTCTGTATATATCTCTGAGGTATCCCCTGATAGGGGATTCTTCGTGTGAATTACAAAAGCATAATCAGCGCAAATAATTTCTTGAATCAGTACAGCCATGCATATATTTTCATGATCTAAGTTAGCTTTCCTACAACTAAGAAATGCTCTTTCATTCCACTTTGAAGCCCAAACCTGTTGAGAATAAGCAAGAAGAATACGTCTTTATATCAGCAATTGGCAATTTGAGATGGTTCTCAAGTCACAGTAATCTGAAAGTTTTGCAGCATTTCTAAAATACCTTCTCATATATACTAAGGACTTTGCTACAACCCTAGTTATACAAAGTGCAAGAGCCTTTATAGTTCTTTTAATGATAGTGATTGCAATTATAAAAAATGAATACTCTTTATTTGGTTTTCAAAAGTAGATCCTGCCCAAGTTACTAGAAAGTACCAGACTGTATTTTGCAAACGAAATGCCCCAAAAAGAATGAGATAGACATCTAACATACAGACTTGAGACTTCCTACATCGATGCACTAAGATTTACATCTGCAAAAGATCAAATCACGTAAACTCGATGGACCAGCACAAAGCACATGATTGAAATTGATACCTTCTTTATTGCTTGCCAAGCACGAGTCCACCTCTCGCCACCTTCATCACCAGGCCAAGGTATTCCTGAACTTTTCATTTTGCTCTTAAGCTCATGGATCTGCCAAAAGGTAAAATGAAAGAGTAAATAATTAGGTTGAAACATAAAAAAAAATAAAAACATACATAAACATCTGTATAATCCACCCACTCGAAGAAAATAATAAAGGTTACAAGAGATCCAATACAAAGAGAGAGGGGCTCTAGTGATATAGATGTTAGAACAACGTGATGATACCATCTATTATCTGTGAAAAATAAGCAACAAGGTTGCAGCTCACTAATGACACAGTGCGAAGTGTGATGAAGGACTTTAAGAGAGCATCAAATTAGTTGCGGACTCATGGATCCAGAGGGTAATCAAGAAGCAAGGATAAGGACGCATCGATTCATCCAGACTAAAAAATAAACCCTACCTGGAATAGCTGAGCAAACAGCCACTGAATACCCTAATTTGAATAAAATCCAAAGAAACCTAAGTCAAGAGTTTATAGCTTCTCTAAGAAGGGCCCAGCTAGGGTTGTTGGCCAATTTCTATGTTAAACGATATATCACTCTTCCATTTTTTTTCTTGTAATATTTGGGCATATTCTCTGAAAATTAAAGGACCAAGTGGAAAAAAGTTTAAAATAGACTAATAGTTAAGATTCATTCGAAGAAATGATATCTGGAAAACTTACAGTGTAGCTTTACATCTCTACAGTTATATTTCAATGTTAGCAACTTCCCTATGGACTTGACATGCAGCAGGCAGAAACATTTACCAGGCATCAGACCAGTGTGAAAACTAGACAATACGTAGGAATGCCAACTAAGTTATCAATACAAATCTAGAAGATAGTTGAGGTACCAATGAAATAGGAGCATTCATTTGTAGAATAGTGTCTCGTATTGCTTGAAGTTTTGAGAGGTCTCCGCTCTTTACACATTTGTAAAATGAGGAAATCTTATTTGCTATATCCTGCAAAAGAGTGAAAAATTAACAGTTAATTTTGTTTTATTTTATTTTTTCTTTTCATTTAACAAATGAAATATATGAGATAAATTAAAACTGTGAACTCGAATGAAATTATGATTGAATAAATGACTGATGCAACCTTACAATGTTCAGATTTAGAAAGTAACAAGACCCATCTTCATTCCATATCCACTCAAGAAATGTGAAAACTTGTTTCAGGGTTTTTTTTTTTTTTTTTAAATAATCCCTACAATAACAATAACTGAAGCTCTTGCAAATATGGACTTTTAAACTAGGCTCATCCTTCTTCGTCTATGTATGCACATGCACATGCACATGCACACGCACACACAAACACACAAGACAGTAAAAATACACGAGGCAAATAAATTAATGAGATTCCCCTACCCTTCAGTAGCTGCTGCACACAATGGCAAGGGGAACAAAGAAAAAGGAGTGCACAAGCTTTACAAAAAAATGTAAGCTTGATTAGATCTGAGGAGGAGAGGAGTTATCATGTTTTTCTCCATTGTTCTTACTCAATTCAGTTGTGGTGGAAATTGTTCAAGGAAGTTGGAGCTAGTTGGGTTATTCCAAAGGGTTGTTTCAAGATTCTAAGCACCAACTTGGAGGCTTTAGGAAAGGGGAGGAAAGCTAAAGCTATGAGGGGTTGTTTGATGTTGGCAGTTTTTTGAACATTTGGTTGGACCGCAATCGAAGAGTTTTTGAGGATTATACGGGAGTGGGGGTAGAAGAACTATGGAGTAGCGTAAGATACTGGGCAGCCCTTTGGGCATCAGTTTTGAATGAGTTCAGGGATTATTCTCTTTCTCATATAGTGAGGGATGTGTTAGCAGCAGGAAAATGAATTTGGTTCAGCTTTGGTTACTTGTAAATAATAGCCCTACCTGAGATGTCATAGCTAGTTTTGCTAGATGGTGGATTTCTTATCCACTCTTTTGTAATTCTTGTTATTGTTTTAATAAAATTTTATTGTTTCTTCTTAAAAAAAAAAGATGGTAGTTTACAATGCAACATGCATTCACATTAAATTTATGACAATAGGCTCTAGCAACCAACGGGCAAGAAAAGCAGAAACCCGCAAGGAATGTCTCTTAGGAAAACTCCCCATTTTGATAGACCTTTTCCACTTAAGATTCAAGGAGGGACCTGAAGAGAGCATAATATGAGGTCGAGAATACTCAAAAACACCTTGATCACAACATTAGAATCAGCCCTTTTGTTTTCAGGTATGTGAATAGTTGTGGTTATGATGCCTACAATGTGATTGTGGTACATTATATAGACTTTAAAATGTAAATCATAATAGGTTTAGGAAATATCTTCCAAAAAGGATAGGCAACCAATTATAAAAACGGCTTGATATCAGACATGAATATGAAACTTAAGAATGAATCAAAAATATATGTGATGACTAATGCTAGCCTATAAACATTTTTGTTTTTTCAGTCGATTTGAATTAGTGAAGAAGTTGTGTGCTTTTAATATATCTTTTCCTGGTAAGAAGTTATGTGCTCCCAACTTCGCATAATCAAGCAGCCACTATTTTGAGCCTTGTGCATATGTTAGGGTCACCACCAAATTAAGCTAAAATGATGCCTCTTGAACAGAAGAAAGAAGAATGTGACAATGGACATTTCAAAAATGTCTGCAATCAGAATTAAGTGTTTAACAAATTGATCACTTTTGAGAAAATACCTTATTAACATCTTCCAGTAGGACTTTCTCAAAGGCTCCAAACGGTATGGCTACTGACATTGGAATTTTAATCCATGTTGGCACCCTTTCTCTCAAAACTTTTATATTGAAAGATTTTGCACCAACCTATGCAATAGAAAATCATCAGATAACATGAATGCTTTATGCTTGTATTACCCATTCAAGATTCAACAGAAATAACTTGAAACTTCAAGTACAAAAGAAAGTTTGTGGTATGTAAATGTCAGACAGAATCATTGCTATAAACAGTTGCAAGAACCAAGAGATTCATTGGCCAAGGGGAAATATAAGAGAATGAAGAGATTCGTACAATACTTTGTTGCATTCTAATTTCTTGGACTACATTTAGAAAACGGATTAAAAGGTGATTAAATGTTAGTAGAATAGCTAATACTTTTGAAAGTATATGTTTCATCATAATTATGTTTCAATTATTATGATGCCACCGCAGTTTTTGTAATCTACATATAACTTGAAATGGCTTCTCCGTGCGATACAAGCAATTAAGAACATATCATAATCTGTAAGATATTTATTAAACAGTCTATGCTAGAGCAACATGATGAACAAAAAGAGAATTAGATGGAGAAAAAAGTTATCCCAAGGACATACCACCTCACTAGTGAACTCCTGAATTGAGACAGCATATTTACCACAGAAGGCCTTCTTTTTTAGCGTTAATCCTGGATGATTGGAGGACTGAGTGGCAAATGACTTGTAAGAAAGATTGGAGCTACTGATGTGACTGCAAGTAAAACAAAAAAGGGTGAATTTGCAAAGTAAAGAAGCACATAACTTCTAACACAGAAACAACCACTCCAGTGACCAACCTGATAATAATATTTGCCGACTTCACTTGTATTGATATTGGTTTGCCTTCCTTCAACTTGAGATCTCTGATAATATTCGGATCAAAGCATGTGGCAAAGCATACCTGCAGCATGCTCTACTCTAGTTAATAAATGTGTTGGTTTACACAAACTACGATATTGTTTTCACATCCTATCAAATGCATGCACTACAGTTTGGTTATTTGGGAATTGATAAATAAAGATGAAAGGTTACATGCCTTGTCATTTCTTGCTCTTATAGAGACATGAGATAAAACATCTGGTAAATCAGGTGTCAGAACAGCAACAACTCCATCTGGAATCTCCTCTTCTCCCGTTACTCTAGTTGCAATTAAAACGGTTGGCTTTTTATAGACTTTGTTCTGAATACTAATGAGCTCACTAACAGAATGTAAGAATCCTGACACTTCTACTGGGCTGATAATCTGCCAACTGCAAGGCACAACAAACGACAAGGAAGAGAATGACCAAAATATCAAGGCAAGTTTTTAAGGCAAAGTAATGGGAGCAGATTAAGGTGAACCTATAGCAATAAACTCAGACTCATAGACAGAATTTTACACTTGAGCATGGAGTAATCCTCAACTTAATCTTACCTGCCCAAGTTTGCAGCTTTTCTAAGAATGGGGTTAAAGCGATTAATGAGGGTAGACAGAATAGCTGCTGATCCAGCCCTTATTAACTCCTCAGAGAAAGTATCGATCTGGAAATCAGGAAAAAGATATTAAATAAAAGTTCACAGGTTGTCCACCAAGGATGCCAAAGTCAGACACCAATATCATACCGGCGATTTCTGAACACCAAGCAAATTGCCAAGATATTTTGCACTGGGCTGGATCTTCTTCTGGTAACACTGAGACCTCTCAGCAAGTACTAATTGTAATCTATCAAGAATGGCCTTTGTTTGTAAAGCCCACTGACCATCATTGGGTTTGTACAATTCGCAGGTACGGTACCAGTCCTGTGACAAGAACAAAACACCAAGATGGAGAACTGAACTCCATTAACATCAAAACTAAAAAGAGGATGAAATATCTAAATGATTGATTGCAAGAGGTTGGAAATACATTAGAGAAGCAAAACCACTAACTACAAGGTCCTCTTTTTGTCATTCTCTACATGAATCAACCAGAAAGGCAGTCGAAACTTAAATTCATGTTCAAAGAGAGATACCTTGGTACAGTAAATGAGGTCTTCATTGTCAACCGTTGACAGACATAAATTTTCGAGCACCAAGGAAATGAAGAACATAATCTCCTGTTTTTAGTTGCACGGAACAGAAGCATGAACATGTTTTGTTGCATAACTGTTATCTACATGATTATAATTTTTGAGGTAAGCAGAGAGTATACATGAAACATAGTTTACCACTTACTGGTGGGTGTCCAGAGTTCAGATTTTTCAGTCCCCTCTCCATGGTTGTTCTGACAGCTGAATCCAAAGCAATATCAAGGAAGAGTATATCTTTCAATCTTCTGTGGTTGGTGATTAGAACAGGGCGTAGCTCAATTCGAGATTCTAGTAACTTCTGAAAACACAAATCCAAACTTCACAATGATATTCCAATATAAGACATCAAAATTTGAAAGTTTGTAAAACAGAACGACCTCCATTAGTGGAACAATGTCTTCATCACCAACATGTGCTTTGACAAAGTTCAGGCACTCCTGTTATTTGATAGCAGTCACATAGGAAAACCAGTCGTATCACATTAAAAATTTCAATGCATAAGTTGACTTCAAATACAACAATTAAGTTACCTGCAACCTAGGTGACAAATCACAAACATAATTAACTCCAACCATGCTTGAGAAATTACGACTCTGAAGGTCAAAACAGAAAAGGCGTATCACTTATTAGCCAAAAGAACCAACATTTAATAGCGTTGAAAGGGACGTTCAATAATCAGTGATCTTACCTCATTTGAGGGAACCAAAACTTCAATAGCTGATTCAAGGTCAGCACCTGAATGAACAGCCTGTGGGCATGATGATAATACGAATAAGAAGTGGAAAACACATAAGCATTCTCCTATAGTTAATATGTTAGAGGAATGAAATATAAAAGCAACTAAAAGCTAAAGAAAACTTCAGGTGCAGTTAATTTGAAGAGCGCCAACATTATAAGGAGCTATCCGTTGCAATCCATCATAAAACAAAATGCCATGAAAGTCAATAATCAAGGAGACTGTAATCAAACATATTAGTTTTTCATTTCATCTATCTGCTCTACTTTCTTTCATTTTGAGACTAAATTTTGGGAAGCCCACATGCCAAACTTGTACGGCAACATACCACATCCTGGGTCAGCCTTATACCAAAGCTTTGAGATCACCATTTAAGTAAAACTTTACTTATAAAGTACAATTTATTGTAGAAGGTTCATGAATTCACATCTTTAAGGATAGGCATTTCAGTTTACTAAGAAGGAAACCCTTTTCTCAGTATATGTGCACTTTCCCTATATCTGTAGCACACAATAGACCAGCACCTAACATGCATATTGGATGATAAACTTCCATCTAATCCCTACTTAGTACTAACAAATGTCAACTGAAACTCAGCTAGATGGCATCAGTAAAATATGATAGCTCCTATTTACTGTTTAGATTGCATTCTTACCTTTAATGTCTTCAAGTATGCTGTGAGGTCACGGATGAGTCCCTCCTTAGTATCAGCCCTGAAATCCGGCTCTGACACAATTGGGCGGTCATAACTTGCAAGTTTATCTTTTGTGAGACCATTGGCATTTAATGTTTTCCAATAAACATCAACTCTAAAACCAGACTTGATGAAATTTAAGAGCGCCTGTTACAAAACAGGAAGAATATATCATGTGAAACCGAAAAACATTTGAGCATTTTTCAGTTACATAAAACACTACATGCCACACCAGTTGAACCAATATCCAATAACCTAAAACGATGTTGATGCCCAATCAGCTCTGGGTAAGATACTGCACAAACGAAAACAAAAAATCGATAAATTACCATACCTCACAAATTATCACATCATCTGGGCTACTATTATTGTGCAACTTTTGGTGCCATTCCTCCATCATGCCACCCTTACAGTCATTATTTCTCTGATGGTGGAAAATGTGCACATTATACTCAGAGGTGATGCAATATGAACTATATAATATATACACACATTTATATGCACCAAATAAATTTTAAATACCTGAATCACAAGTATTTCATCTCTAATTCTCTGTCCAACATCTCCCTGACCTCCACGACCAACATGTGTCATTAGTAATCTCACAATTTCCCGATCATTAGGCTGGTTTAAATATATTCTTTGTAGCAGATTGGTAAACCTATCCTGAGCTTCACTAATTTCACTGCAGATATATTGCAAATAAGTCAGTGCATGTCTCTGGTTGAAGATGTGCGCCATACTCGCATGGTCATTCAAAAGCTTGGCCTAATCACATAAGAAACAAAAGTCTCTACAGTGCAAACAAGGAATAACAAGGCAGGACAGAAGGGGGCAACTAAAAACACAAGTAAAAAGCTGTCTGTCAATGAAATGTCCCAATTATAAGAGGAAAACTGAAACCAAATAGAGAAGGCTTTGTCAGGTCCCTTCTTAGTACATTACGTGCAGATGGATCATTCATACTGATGGAAACGGATGCAATAATAAGTACTCAAATAACCAGAAGCTTAAAATGCCAACAGTGGGCCAGAAAGTCCTTTATAACTACTGTGTAGAGAAAATAAAAATAATTTGACATAGGACGATAACAAAAACCCATGTGGAGTCACCTTTCATCAGGAAAATAATTTATTAAATCTACAGTATGGAAGTTACCGAGGTTTCACATTGTAGTTCTTGTTCCATGTTAAATGCCTGCATGACATGAACCTCAACCATACCAATATACCAACAAGCCCGAACTCCCCTTCACTTTTGCAGCGTTCTGTGAGTTCCGTTGCAATATTGAATCTGTGTCAAATTAGTATAGTTTTGATGAAAGAATGAAGCTGAAGACAATTTTCCCATCTTATAAGAGCAACTTCACATTATTATCATATTAAGCAATTCTTATGCCCATCTAGGTGACACAAAAAGAAACTAATAACTGGCCCAATGATAATGAGCATCAAGGTTCCTCCATGCATGCATATTAGTTATAACTTAATTGATTATATATACCATATCTTGGCATTACCTGTGCATCAACGATCTCTCGGCCTCCTTTTCTCTTCGAGATATTTCATCAAGTAACCATTTGCAGATTCCATCGCCATTCCCACTAGCCTGCATACAAGGTGTAGTATTAGTCTTAACCATAGTTACAACACTAGTCTGAAAACTGCGTAGTGCATTATAAATGACTTGGTGAAAATTATATTTTTATTTTTTTGGTCAACAGTGAACTTTGTGCAGCCGTCACTTGGAACAAAATTTCTAATGAAAACTAACAACACAAAGGGTGAGGATTTGAACTTCAAATGTCTCCTTACCAGCTAGACTATGTCTCATTCATATTGCAAGATAAATAATCACATGACAGCATTAGTACAAAAAAGGGGACAAAAAGAAAACAAAAACCCTATCTTAAAAAATCTCAAAAAAATGAAAATAAAAAGTGATTCAGTTTAAAGAAAGAATGCTAAGCTCCATTGAAACAGGGATAGAGCTCATATGGCTATAACAATCATCTGGACTCTGGACAAGACAGGCATATACACAAGATTGTTTGGAACTAGGAGGTTCATCAATAAGGCATAATCCGCAAATGCTATCCCAGGGAATCGCAGCTCATGTCTAAATCATATAAATATAAAAAATTTAAGCAGCTAAATCGGTATGAGTATATATTTTAATTCATGCACGCTAGCAACCAATGCCATTATGGGAAACAGCTATTATATTATTATTCGTTTAGTTAATTGGCAAGGGCTCATAAAAGGAGTCCTAATTCTCAGTACAAATCACATTTGATTACCTTTGCAGTAGAAGTCACTGGTGTCACGCGACTCACGCCTACAAAGAAGTTTGCTCCGTTGTTTTTTATCCAAGAAGACCCACCAGACCATATCACAAATTGGATACCCACCAAATTGCTTTGCTGAAGATTAATATCTACAATCTTTTTTTTATGGTTGAAGGTAGATTGGTTAAACAATGATTTAGTTGAAAACAAAAAGAAAGTCAAAATCTATATCACAGAATACACCCCTTGTTGATTTGCATACCTGAAAGGAACCCTTTCCAGTTGATATTTCTGTAAAATAAGTCTGACATGCTCCAGGAACTAAATTTGATTTTTTAGGCAATATCTCTGGTGGAGGAGCCTGCAAGACATAACAAAAGCTGGACATAAGGTGAAGTACCATTCATACCTTGCAAACATATAGAAGTTTAATTATCTAGTAGATTGCATCTTACTAAGCCTGAAAACATAAACTCACCAACCAATCCCCGGGGGAACATTTGGAAACACCCCAGTGAAGAACTGTATCACCTCTCATATTTGTAGCAACCAATATGTGAAAGTCACCCCTATCCATTTTTGAAAGGACCTACAACCCACCAAAGATAGAATGAAAGTCAAAATGAAGTTTTTATTCTTTTCTTTTCACTTCTCTAAAGTATTCTTTATGAATTTCACCAACTTAAATCCTCCATGTATCTGGGGTTCACACGGGATCCACATGGTCTTACTTTGCTGGTTTCTCACATGCAAGGACTAGAATCATAGTGGACTGAAATATTTGACCAGATAACGTTGATCGAAATCAAACGGTCAATAATCAAATAACTTGATATTGATAAGTGCCAATCATATCAAAATTTCTCAGAAAATCAGACTGAGCTAAATGAATGTAATCATGCAATCTGATGTATTTCGTTTACTGTTCTACTTCAATGCTAAGCATGGCATAAGGTTACGGAACTTACATTACAGAATGATTCTAGTTGATACAAATTAAGGGTTGAAATAGAAGAAAACTAACCACTATGTCATAGTTGCCAATTTGATAAGTTATCCGTGAGACCACATTGTCTCCTCCCATAGATTTTTCTACAAGATCCACGAGAGCTGAATTTGGCATACTAGCGTTTTTGGCAGGTGCTGTTGAATGCTTTTGCAACCACTGCTCAACATTATGTTTCCTTTTGTACGAGTATGGCATACCACTCCTCAGTTTCTCTCCATTATCAACCATTCTTCTAGGACTGGAGGTTGAAAAACTATGCTGCAACTCATTAAAGGATATTCCCTTTGATATCTGACTTTGTAGCCCTATTAAAGTATCCTTGTAATCTTCCTACATGAGAAATCCAAAGTAACAATATGACGAAAGTTTCTAAAGAAGGAAAAAACGAGATCCCTAACGAGAATACAACAGAAAGGTATACCTTCAGCAACTTCCATACTAAAGCACATGTACAACACACATAGGTACAACAGAATGGGAGTCTATCAATTCAAAAATGGACATAGAGAATGTCATAGGATAGAGTCATAGACTGAATCAATATAATTTAAGTTCACAAGGCAAGAACTTGCCGATGAAAGAAATGTATAACCTTTTCTTGTTGTGGCGAGCTCATGGGCCTGCCCTTGCTTTTCTGTTCAATCAGCTCTTTTGGTATTGCGGGACTTAAAGTAGTTGGATCAGTCTCAGGGATTTCTACACGGAAGTTCCCGTGATTCATTTTCAACCTACCAAACACATATAAACATTTCCTTAGCATCTAGGCATGAGTTTGGCTAGACGAAGCAAGTAACCAAGTGCAACAGGAGAAAGAAACCAAACCATCTCTCGCGACTGCCATCTTTAAGTACAAATTCAATAGCATGTACGTTGGGGTCCCGCAACTCAATGGTTAACAAATACAATTCTCCTTTCTGCAACTTAACATGAGAACTAAATGTAAGAAAACTACATAGTCTTGCACACAAACACACATATAGGGTACAACCCATCAACAACAGTTTAAAACTGGAAACTTCTAGCATCATTTTCCATTAGATAAAATTCTTTATCCGCTCAAATAACAACATTTATCAAACAAGACAGTCCAACATATACAGACAACAATTCAAACTACAAGGGTCAATTCATAAACTGTACAACAAAAATATTATGGACAGGTTAAGATGAATCTATATAGATACTGAATTGATTTGAAATTTGACCGCGAGACTGCGAGCATGAGTACAAAGTTACAAACATTAAATTCAAGTTTAATCCTATATAGCAGGTGGTGTAGAACTTTCTACATATTGTAGAAATGTATATACGGTCACAAAGATAGAAAAATGAGGTTTTTAAGACCTTAGTGAATTGTGTCTGCAATGCGCCTTGCTTGTAAGCTTGTGAACCGGAAGAGCGATCAGCGGGAACGAACCAGTTCCTGTATATGATTACCAAAATTGCATATTCCACACAAACACACACAGATATATTAACATAAAAAAAAGGGGGTGGTGGTAAATTTACTTGTTTCCACGGAGAATGCAACCCCAGTGAAGAACCCAAGTGCTGGGGCAGTTGCTGAGCTGAAATTCAAGTCTTGCATTGCGTCCTTTCGAAGAACCCGAGACATTAATCTACCATAAAAAGCGCCAAGATATCAGAAAAGAGTAATTAATTATTAGTTAATTGAGTTTAATTAATTACCTGAAGTTGCATGCGGTCAATGAGATCAAACTGGTGGAGACGAGGAGGAGGAGGAGGAGCTGGAGCCTGTGATGAGCCGGAAGGGCGGTTACCGGCGGCGGCCATGGCGGCGGCTCAGGTTGAAGCAATGAGAGCCTAAAAAAATCCGCGAAATTACGGAGATTTTTGTGTGGGTTTTGAATTTTGGAGAATAATATTAATAAAAGAAGAAAAGGTGGGAGAGAATTTAGAATTGGATGCTCAGGTATCGTGGAATTTGACAGAGGGACACGGAAAACGATCCGTGATTCCGACTTCCCACTCCGTTGATTCTGAAATCCTCATCTTTTAGCGATTCAAATTCGAGCAGATAGAGAGAGAGAGTGTGAGAGTGGGAGGGAGGAACGGCGCGCTTCAACGGTCCTAACGTTTTGTATCTTCTGCCGCTTTATAGACGTCAAAGTGGTGCCGTATTGTCAAAGTCACGCATTTCTGGTGAAATTTGGATTGATTCCGGTCCTAATCGGAATTCGACATCCCACAAGCGGTCGATTACTACAGTAGTAATGATCTTTTTTCAATCCACTGCGTTCCGGACAAAAGCATCCGTATTCCTTTTGATTTCGCATCGTTAAACTATTTTGTATAAAACTTGTGTCTTTATAAGAAGTCTGCAGCTCTAGCGGTCAAAAACGTTTTATCTCTATATTGGATCTTTTTGAGACCTTATTTTGAATGTCAATATGTGGCTCATTTAGGAAGTGTTTTTAAATAATTGAAAGTACTTTTAGGAAGCGATTCCTTGAAGAAGCACTAGTTATGTACTTCTTGCATAAAGTACTTTTAAGTGTTTTTCTAAGATTAACTTACATTTTACTAAAAATTGGTTCCAAAACATTTATCTAAAAAAACTTTCAGTTATTTAAAAGTACTTCTCAAACGAGCTAATAATATACAATAAACTAGCCTTTTGGCTTACCGACTTCAATGGAACCGAATATTGATAAAGACTGGTAGCCCTCACAAATGATATGCATATGAGAAAATCGGTGGTGATAGTGGTCCTAGTGATTGCAAAGGAATAAATTCCCAATGGAGGTATATTTCTTACGAGGGTTTGTTGAGTTCTTCCAACTCATGGTGAGTTGTCTTAAGGCTATTAGGAGTTATAGTTTTAGAGGAATAAATAGTGGTTCAAGTGTGTGCGACTGAAAAGAGAAGAGATAAAAAGTGTATTTCTTATTCTTCTTCCTCTTTCAGGTTTTCGTCAAATCTTAATCTAGAGATTATGGCAAAATCATTCATTGTACTCATTATCGATATAGTGAATGATTATAATTACTACCCCGTGAACCATGTTAATTCTCGAAGTTGATTTGTATTGGTTATTTGTTTTCAATTTCCAAAATTTGTTCTATTTTTCCTAAACACAATATTCACAACAGGGTTGACAGAACATGCTGCCTAAAATAATACTACCTCCTCCTTTTTAGGAACTCTTCGATCTCCGGCGTGTTTCATCTTCTCAAAACAACAACAGAACTTCGAACGAAGATATATGAGCAAGCACACAACATCCTCAGTGTAACCATAAATAAGGATAGTTGTCAAAATGGAGGGATATTACAATTTATGTTCAATCTCCTATAGGTTCCAGTTCCTGCAGATAACCGGATTAACCGCTACATTTTCCTCACCCTCCATAGCAACAGATTACTAAATTCTTATTTAACGTTACCACCGTCAGTTTGGCATCTCATTGTGTCAGCAGTTTTGAGTCACATGCCACTATTTTAACACGGCCAACATTTTCCTGGTTATCCTCGTTCTTGAACACAGCATCCTGTAAGATGAAGGTCCAAACATTGTCGCAGAATCTATAGGTGTGCAAATGTCCCTGTGGAGGATGCAAACTTCGTCAGAAATAGTTTGGATTTCACAGCCTAACTCGTATCTGCAACCAGTATTTATTTTGTGCAACGCGGTAGAAATATGAGATGCAAACAAGAATTGCAGTACGCGGGCAGGAAAGAAGAACAGCAGAATGGCAATCAAATCAAGAAGGAAATATGTCACACAACCAGTTGATAGCAGACTGCAATTTCCATCAAATCAAGAAGGAATCACGTCTCCAAAAGCCAAAAGCATACAAAAAAGACTATCAATACTTAGAGAAATAATTTTGCCATATCAAACCCGTTAACCATAATGCCATGTCCTAATATAGTATTGGATCTAAGTAAAAATAAAAAAATATGTGGCACTACCTAATACTAGATAAAGGACTTACACCCGTCTCAGAATCTACCACTTTAAAAAGTATCCAAGATATATTATGACAAGGTAGTGTCTATAAAAGATTATAAATCAATACGTTAGTATTGTTTAGTATTAAATGAACTGCTGACCCACATAACCCCTTGGCAGGCAAAGAAGTTGCTGAACTCCTGCTATTATCATACTAAGGACCAAGCCCCCCAAGTGTAGGAACTTGCCAATTGTCCAGATGACATTTGTTAAATTGGTTTCTATACCATCAATGTCAAGCTTTTGTAGCATAATACGTGGAGCAGTGACTATTGACACAATTACTCAAGCAAAAACGAAGTTGGTGTTCTAGGACACATTTTGGCCTTTATACTACTAATTTACAGCTTGTGTAGCCAAGCTAGATCAGTTATTGTTGACCCAAAACTTTCGAAACGAAACCTTATTTTTTATTGCAAATCAAACACTTGAGATTTGAAGACTCCCATAAACCCAACACAGACACATGCCTTCATGCAGCACATTCATTTAATACACTAGATTTGTTTGAACATAAATTACATACCAGTAAAAAAAAAAAAAAAAAATTGGTGGCATGTTAATTTATTAAGTAAATGGAACCATCATCCAATGCTAGATTTAATAGTATGCATGCATGGAACATTCACTATAAGAGTATAGCTTAGGGGATCTACAAACACACGAAAGCGTCAGTTGTTTACATAACTCAATCTTGAAATAGGCCTCACGAGTACATATGCGCCTTTGGGGGCTCACCATTACACTTACTGTTTCTTACGTTAATGGACGCAAGTCAAACAAGAGAAACAATAAAGGACAAATACAAACAACCATTAGTGGTGTTCTTTTATGTTTGTTTTTTGACTTACATAGATATTCATTTGTTTATTCATCATCTATTATCTAGAGGGGAAAAAAGATCACAGAGGACATGTAAATACAAACAAAATAAATAAAGCACCCCTTGTTGAATGAACATACAACCAGTGGCGATAGCGAGACTTGAGATACAGTTTAAGGATCTCCTAAAAAATAGTCCGAAATAATCTAGAATCTCCCTAAATTTATTTCTTTGCAGGTTCCTATTGTCTTAAACAATTATTAAGATGTTTTGAAATTCAGATGTAAACTTCGTATTAAAAAATCAGCTTTTTATGTCTGTAAGATCTGAATAGTCATAAAGTAAGCCAATCCTATTTTCATGAGAAATATTAAGGAGAAATGCTAAGGAGACTCTCAAAAGTGGGGCTCTCCATGGAATCCCTACCACCTCATGTTTTTGGCACAATGTTTAATAATGTTGGCACGGGTATTACTAACAAAGCAATTTCAAACAAAAGGAACATTGTGAGGTGGCAGAGATTCCATGGAGAGTCCCACTTTGAGAGAGTCTACTTGGCATTTCTCAACATTCAAATACTACTGAGGATGAGAAAGAAAACTGAGAAAAAGACAAACGAAATTTCCCTTCATTTGTTCATCTATGCCCGATAAACAATGCAGAAAGTAACATCACAAAAATCACAACTCATCCATAATTCCCATATAATCAAGATAAGTCAAACTAAAAGGTAGATCCTAAGATTTCTCAAAATCTGATGCCCATAAGCTTGCCCCAGTCCGCCCAACTTATTCATAACCCGTGGCAATAAACATGCCAAAACTTCACCCAACTGATTCATTACATGATATCCGTACCTTGTAGAAGAAGCCCCGAAAAACACTGACAACGTAAAAGAAAAGAGAAAAGGCAATGCCTCCCATGATTATTTTGTTGTGTAGACCACAGGCATAAAAGATGTAACAAGGAGAGATGCCAAAGCATACAACTATATAACTAGTCAAGATTTTTCCTGAAAGGAGGGTGTCATACAGAATGATACAAACAAGCACAGGGAAAACTAAGGCCAAAAATATAGCCACAGCAGCATCAGTCCTGCATCATATTCTTATAATTTCACATAACAATAAAATGAGACGTTCAACACACCAAAAGGCACCGGAGAAGAGATAAAATTTTGAACAATGCAGATAAACACCAAAGGTTCTCATGCTTATCTCAAAAGACACGGATCATTTCAAAGTCATTGTCAACTCTCTATCTCCCTTTTTAAACAGCAACAAATACTCACGGTGGTTGACCATTTTAGTGTTGGGCAAAGGAGAGAAAAAAAAAAAAAGAAAGCTTTTTCTCCACCAAATGCATTTGGTAAAACACCTGCGGGCTGCAGCGGGCACATCATGTTTCCTTACATACTCTAATTCGCAAAATCTTCAACTTCAATAGTAACAAAGCAGCAAAAGATACACTTTAATAACACGAACAAGTATGCTAGAAAGAAATGGGAAGACATAATCACCCGAAGATTCAGTTCAGTACTACATAAGCCTAACTGTTCTAAGGCAAATTCATTCAAAAACATAATCATTACCACTCGGCTTTCGCAACAACCACGTTTAGAGTATCAAAGATGTAAACAAGCAAAACAAAGCCCCTCCATTTAGAGACAAAGCCCACAACTTGGCCTGAAGCAATACCCATAAATACAAAAAGTTCAAGGAAGAAAAATACCTTGATGGTGACCTTGCTCTTCACTTGGTTTTCAAGGGCTTCAGTCATCGACTATCCGCAACCCACAAACCCATCAAGAAGGCATAAAAAAATAATTAAACAAACTAAATACATCAAATTCTAAATAAACAGAAAATCAAAAGATAATATTAATACCTTGTCGAACTGAGTAAGAACTTGAATAGCGAGGTCTGGACTGAGAGTCCCGCTCTGAACCATCTCGTCCAAAGTCTCCGTTAAACACATTCCGATTGTCGACCTCCTGTACAGCTCAAACGTCGCCATCTACTCGATCTGCAGCATCAACATATACACAAACAAAACCAAATCTCAGCGCTGCGGAATCGAATTCCCGGGAAAACAATTGCGAGACCAAGTGTGTGAATTCGTGAGAGGAGTTGAAATCGAGAGAGGAATTGGAGTTACAGGGATTGGGGCGACGCTGCGGAAGAGTTTATCGGGTTTGGGCTGTGGAGCTTCTTCGCCCTCTCGCTCTCTCTCTCTGTGAACGTTGATTCCTCGCGAGGCGCAGAAATTTGGGGCTTTTATACCTAGCTATCGAAGCTGCCCGGTATATATAGTCGCGATGGATTGGGTAAGATGCAATGACCATTATACCCCTCATGTCAGAGTTTATTTCTTGGAAAATTTTAAATACCAGTATCTAGTTTATTTTTTGCTTAAAAATGTTGACGCTCATGGATGACGAGTTCTTACATGATTGAGTTCACCATTTATATTTGAGTTTAAATTTAACAGAATTAGAAACTATTCATATATTATGTATGTGTTGAGTAAGTTTGTATAGAGAAAAATGATAAAGAGAAATTGAAATTAAGTTAACTCACGAGTTACAGATGTAGGATCGAAAGATCTAATATAACAAAAATCAGTACGAGGTCATACCCACAATGATTGATTATCCTTTCTTGTCAATTACCCACTTTAACTTACCAAACTCTAAACACTAACTAGAATAATCAGATAACAAACTGAAAACGAGATCCTAAGTTGGCTTGAAGAAAAAATTGAAAGTAGCAAAGAAAGTGAAAAAAACAAAGTTCATTGCGATGAGGGAATACTGTTGAGTTTTGGAAATCAGTTTTTGAGATCAAGAAACGACTTCACCGTAACAAAACTCATGGAAGGACTTACAAAACCTATCTTACTATACACTCAACTAGAAGACAGTTTTGTCTCCATCTTTCCTACTCAATCTCTCTTCAGTCGAGTGGAAGTGAAATGACACTAACGCGTTAGTCAAACGCTTTCTCCTCAAACACTATCTCTATCATTAAGCATAAAGTTTAAATTTGAAAGCTTATATGACACTTTGATTTCTTTTTTTTTTTTTTTTTTTTTCACCTGAAATGTCAAATTTTAATTATTATTTAATGTATTACTTTTCATAGTTGTATGTTTAGTACAAATAATAATAATAATAATAATGATAAAAAACATTTATTAATCACTAAAAATAGATTTGAAGTTGCTGTCAAATTTGTCAACAACCACCTTTGCTGTCAATCCACATTATGCTACATAGGAATTGGCATGTTATAGGTGATGTGGACTTTTTGAGTCCTCATTTGGAAGTGCTCTAATCACAAAAAACTTCAAATCCAGTAGTCATCAAATAACGTGGAAAGATTTTGTATGTCAAACATGCAGAATGACATCTTACCTAGAATTTGATATCTTCTTTCAAAATGCTTAATAATCTAATCATCAATAATTACGTCATATAAGTTACAAAATTCAATTTAAAATTTTCATCCTCTAACATTACCCTAAACGATTGGGCTACAATGCACATGTCAACATGCCATAGCAGACTCGCTTTTAGAAAAACTAATGAAAAATGATTTGAAAACTTTTAGTTTTAACGATAAGGACAAAATAAAAGATAAAATAAATAGTACCAGATTTGACTTTTTAATGTAAAAATATAATTTTTCGTTAAAAGTAAAGAGTAACGCTTTATATTGCAAAGACTTTCTCAAGAGAAAAAACAAGAGAAAAACAGAATAATAAAAGAAAGAGAAAACCGGGCGCTACTCGTCGGAAACTCTTGAATGCATATATATAAAGGAATTTCAGAAGGGATGGGAAGCGACGGTGGAAGCGAAAGAGAATAGCAGCGGCGAACAATGGAGTGCTCCGGAGTCCTCCACCTAATCGTACTGGGATTACTATTCGTCGGCCTTCCGACGCTCTCCTACGGAAGAGAATCGTCCTCGACGTGCTTGGCGCTGTACGAACATGGTGGCGCTCCGGCGGTTTTTGAATCTCCAGAATGCCGTCAATTGAAGCACTCCAACGACTCCCAACGCACATCGCTTTGTCAAACGGCCATGCTTCAAGGTCGAAGAAAGTACTTGGAGGATCGCATTCTCTGCGCTCTCGACGTTCGCATTCCCTTTCCTGGTCCGTCTCTCTCTGTATGTATTCTCTATATAATTAGGGTTTTCGTTAATCGTCTGAAGCTCCTGGATTATAATGCAGTTGGTATATGCTAAATTTTTTGCTGGCTTAATGGCTAAGTAATTAACTTAATTTATTATTAATCATGTTATGAGAAGGCTGATATATACATACATATATATATATATATATTGAATAATTGAAGTATATAAATATAATGTGATGATTTGGATGGAGGTGCAGGTAAAGTAGGGATTATGGAGGAGGTTAGAGTTGGAGTTGCTGCTGTTTTTGATGGTCATAATGGTGCTGAAGCTAGTGACATGGCTTCCAAGCTTTTCTTGGAGTACTTCGTTTTGCATACCTACTTTCTTCTAGATGCATCGCTTTTCGCTGCGTCACCTGGAACACCAACATTGCAAACTTGGGATGGCTTACTCGATCGGCACCAATTGGGCATTGCAAGGTGCTGCTATTTCTAAATTTTTGTATAAATAATAATTACTCTGTATATAGCTACTATTAAGTTAATAATTCTTGATTGATGATGTGATTCCTGGTTTAATTTGTCTCCGTTCCATGATAACAAGTTATTTGATTTAGATAGAGTGATATTTATGCTTAATTTATTAATGAATTCTCAGGTTTAAGCATTCGTTGCAAGGAAACTTTGACGATTCTTTTCGCTTTGACATCTTGAAAGAAGCATTGTTGAGGGCAGTTCATGATATCGATGTAAAATTTTCGAAGGTATATATATCTCTTCTAATTGGTTTTTCTCTGCTTTCTTTCAAACTGTTCTGCATATATAGTGTTCTATCTTCTTACTATTGTATTGAGGTTCCTGGTATTGATTGTTGAAGGTTGCATTTATGGAGAATCTAAGTTCCGGTTCTACTGCCACGATTATACTACTTTTGGATGGCCAAATCTTAGTTGCCAATATTGGAGACTCAAAGGCCTTTTTGTGCTCGGAAATTTTTCAAACTCCTGCAGAGGCAAAAGGTACTTTTCTTTTTTCGGTGTAAAGGTGCATCTGTTTTAGGTACCATGGTTTATTGTGAACTTTATGTGATGTTTCTTCTCTCTCATTCTCTTAAAATCATTGTATTTGTCTGCATATATGTGAGGATCACTGAGCATGGAACTATTTAGTTTATACGTGGAAATATTAAAAGCCCAAGAGGGCTCATTTACCTTCTGATGTTTGTGGTTATTGCAGCTGCTTATATAAGATTATACATGGAGGAAAGGCGTAATGGTGTTATCTCACATCGAAGACGCAATAAAAACTTCGAATTGGCTCCTGCGGATGAGTTGGTGCATTTATCTGTTAAGGAATTGACAAAAGATCATCATCCGGACAGAAACAATGAAAAACTTAGGGTGGAAAGTGCTGGTGGAAATGTTCTTGAATGGGCTGGTGTGCCTCGAGTAAATGGTCAGCTGGCTGTTACCCGATCTATTGGCGACATCTCCCTTAAAAGGTAAGAAGTCAAAGAATAATAGGAATATATCTAAAGTTTGCATTTCTTCTTCTCTTGATGCTATTGATCGAACGATGAAATTAAAAGATGTTCTGGTTTAAATTTCTTGTCTTTTGTGACATGTAAAACTAATTTGAGCTGCTCTTGATTGTCATCAGTTTTGGCGTTATATCAGAGCCGGAGTTGACAGATTGGCAACCCCTGACTGTAAATGATACCTATCTGGTTGCTACATCTGACGGAGTTTTTGAGAAGCAGAACTTGCAGGATGTTTGCGATCTGTTGTGGGAAGCACGAAGTCATCATCCTACGAAATTGGAGCTCTCTTCCTCAGGTTCATACTCATTAGCTGACAGCATTGTAAGTACTGCATTTGAAAGGGGAAGCATGGATAATATGGCAGCTGTTGTAGTTCCATTGGCATCTTCTGGTTTTTCTCAACCGGAGCCATTGCTACGTGTTTTCTCATTTGCGGCTAACAACTCCTCTTTAGTTCATACAGCGTAGATCTGTTCTATGTTTTTGCGTTCTTTCGCAACTCGCTTGTTTTTCTCTCAAACAAGGAAAGATGTCAATCAAATGTACATACGTTAGAAATGGCTTATACAAGATATTTTTGTGATTGATTCGACTGTTAAGATTCAGCTAGCGCTAAATCATCTGGAGCTTTACTATAAACTTTGATTGGCTATTTTTGTTTTGACAAGATGATTTAGCTTCGATGAACATGCTTAGTTCATATATGTTTCAAGCTAGGATGAAGCATGAAGATCATTTATGTGTATGATCAACCAACATAACGGTATGCACGGTCGTGAAATTTGCGTAGAGCGAAATCCACGATCAACTTAGCTCTACGCAGATTTCAGTCGTGGACAGAACTTTATTGATTGAGCTAGCCTTTGTAACCTGTGATCTTCTTGTTTGCTTCTACTTATTAGTTGTAACTTGTATGGCAAGACAAGCCTGTGAAGTTGCTGCTTGTTAAAACATGTGTTTTTTGTGTGTTTAAATTTATCACCTCTTATTACTTTTGTATGCTTATGAATATTATACCAAAAATTGAGTTGCACATCCGTTGCTGCACACCTTAATTTTTTATGACATTCAAATTGAATAAATTAAAATAAACAAGAGACAGAAATAAGAAAATTTGTTCCCTAATAAATTGAGTAAATGTTGCTCTTATATAGAGATAGATGCATAACTCCAACTTCACTTTCTTTTTATCAACCGTATGAAAACCATTATTTATCTTGATACGAATCTTCAATTAAGTTAGCTCTTCTGCACTTGACTGCTTTCTTCGTCACAATTTACTTTGAACGTCGTAGCGGAGGTTTTATTATTCGGAATGTTCTCGTGGCCTAGCTTCGTGCCCGAGTCCATTTTTTTTAACTCAAAATTCAAATTTTATCAAATTAGTAATTTCGTTTGGGAAATTGCACACATATAATATACCAATTGAACAAAAAAGTTTCAGAGTCAATCACTTACACTTAGACATTGCTACATGTGGTAATGTGACACTAATAGTAAATATTTTGATACGAAGACAATTTGTGTAGAATAAATTCATCGGTATTTGGCATACTAAATGAATAATATAATGTTATATTGAGAAGCACATGTTATTAAATTATTAGATTAAAATGTTTGATATCAATGTACTTTTTCATGTAAGTCTCTTTAATTCCAGTGCATTATGTGTTATAATTTAAGTAAATGATAATGACATTAAAAATTACATATCAATCTCATCGTTACTTATATGATCACAATTTGGTGTTAGATATGAGACAACGCCGGATATCGGCACGATGTAACACATAAGACATAATATCCATATTTCGTTGACGTGAAAACGTTTTAGTGGACAAAAAAATAGTTTGATTAAAAAAAGTTAATATAGAAAGAGAAGTTAAAAATAGGGATGTGATATCACATACCTCATTTTGCTTCTCACACATCTTTTTAATTTTTTACCATCAGATTCGATGAATTGAAGAAGATCAACTGACAAAAATTATCAAAATTATGTGAGAAGTAAAATGAGGTGTGTAGATAGTACATCCCTAAAAATAAAGAAAAGCCTAATGGATGACAAAAAATGCAACATCGATTCTCACTCGACCGACCACGCAGTACTGGTTTTCTAGACTCTTATCATATAATAAGAGAAGGAAGCTAAGGGGGCGTTTGTTTACTCTCACTAGGTTGGACTGGATTGGACTGGACTAGCTATTAGTCCAATACTGTGTTTGTTCCATGCTGGGACTAACATTAATGAGATTAAAGGGGACTAGCATGAACAAAACCCTTCACTAAGAGGTCTTAGCGAGACCCCCCAATAACCATGAGACTAGCTAAGACTATCCTCTCTTTCTCATCCTCGTCATGCTCAACGACCAAACGCTGAAGAAAAAGATAAGATCATAATAAAATATTAATAATTTATATATTAAATAATATAATATTAGAATTTGTTATTATCCAGCTTCTTAGTCCAATACTGCACCAAACGCTTCACTAAGTTAGTCCAGTTTAGTCTAGTCTAAGCCAGTCCAACTTAGTCCTTGAAGCTAATCCAGTCCGAGATAGTCCGACGCAACAAACGCCCCAGAGTCTAAGACGTGGATGTGTTGTTTAGCTGCCACGACTCTCGTGACTCTGCACACACACCCTACAAAACATAACGTCTACGCAACTTCTCTCTCTTCACTCTCTCTCTCTCTCTCTCTCTCTCTGGATTTTGGATGAGTGCTAATCCTCCCGACTGCTCAAAGCAAAGAAATCAATCTCTCTCGTACTCGATCATGTCTCGCCTGAAGAACGACTGCTTGTCTTTCGTTGTTTCATTGCAAGAGGGTTTTCGTTATGTTAAGGCATGCTTCGTTGGTCAGGTTAGTTGGTTCTTGCCTTAATGGCTTCGCTATTTACATACGTGAGCGTAACCACATTGGCTAAAGCGGATTTGAGCCGTCCAACCGGCTGGAACGGATGTACGTAAAGGCGTGTTCTTTCGTGTGCGATATTAATAATTTTTTTGACGGTTGATTGATGTTGGAGCAGGCTAAGAAGTTGACAGCAAGGAATGAGCAGGAAGCAACAGAAGCAGAGCTTCAGACAGCCAAAATGCAAGTTGAAGCTGCTGATGCCGCTGAGGATACCAAAAACAGACTCCATAATTATCCCTAATGTAATGTAATTGCTCTAACAGTTCAACCTTTCTTTCTTTTGTTATAATTGAGCAGAATATATTTTGCAATTTAAAATTTTGAATTGATTTGTATTGTTTGATTTCTGAATTTCTCTTTCAACTAAATTCTTTTGCCTCCAAATTAGATGCATTGTCCTTCTTAGAATATAAGAAGAAAAATTGTTGCTTCACTTCCCACCAATTAATTTGGGATAGTACAGTATTCACCCATTTTTACTTCCCATGTTAATTTTTGCTAAAAATATTATCAATCTCATAAATATCATCGATTTAGATGATATCAAAAGCATCATACTAAATTTCATCAATCAAATTGTTTTTCAAGGAATAGGAAAATTTGATTTTTTTTCTTCAATTTATTCGATCCGATAGTAGAAAATTGAGAGAGATGTGTGAGAAGTCAAAATAGGTGTGTGGATAACACTACCTTTACTTTAACTTATTTATAATGGGTAAATAATGGGCATTCACATATGATCCAACAAGTGCATAAAACACACACAACAAATAAGAAATGAGAAATCGCCAGAGAGTATGATAACTTTAAGGTATTTATACGTTAAATTTTAATATTATCCTCATTAATTTGTGCTAATTAAAGAAGCACAGATATACTCTAGGCGGTACAGGAAGAAGAAGATGATGGACCTTCTAAACGAATATAGTCATACATCAGTCCACGGGCCTAAGGGTAGCTGAGCTAGACGGTCGTCTAAGGCCCCCAAGGCATTAGTTGTTGCTTTTTTCAAATCTATGAAATTAAAGATAAATTGCTATTTAAAAAATTTTAAAATTACAAGAACCAAAGAGAGTTAAAATAAGAGAACTTTCATGAAAATGGTTTGAATCAAGTTTATTTTAATAAAAAATTATGTCATAACTTTATTTAATGAAAAAGACTTAAAGTTTAATGAAAAATCCTTAAATTTTAATAGAAAAGACAAAAGGACTTAAATTTTAATGAAAAAGATATAATTTTAATATTTAAAAAAAAAATTCTGACGCCCAGACCCACGTGTTCTTACACTGTTTATGAAACTTCTACATTGTTTATGAAAACTTACGACACTGTTTATGAAACTTACGACACTAAAACTTAATATACTGTCAATTCAAACGTGCCACACAGAGTCTGTCACATTCCGACCCGGACCCCCATCACATCCCAGGCTAGACTCTACCGTAGCACGATATTGTTCGTTTTGGGCCTCAACCACACCCTCACAGTTTTGTTTCTGGGAACTCAGACGAGAACTTCCCAGTGGATCACCCATCCTAGAAATGCTATTGCCCCCAACTCGCTTAACTTCAGAATTCCGATGAAACCCAAAGCAATGAGCTTCTAAAAAGTCTTGTGCTAAGTAAAGATGAGAATATATATATAAGACTTACAGGATCCACTGACGATGTGGGATCTTACAGAGTCTTCCAAAACATGGACATGGATGTCATTCTGGGTCGTCGTCGCCTTCGGTGATTACAAAACCGGTATGCGTTTTTGACAGGGGAAGAAAAACAAGGAAAACCTGTCGTAGTAATATTGGTGGGTGCGCCTGGAACCGACAAGTCCACCTTCTGCGAACATGTCATGCACTCCTCCTCCACTCTCCCTTGGGTACACGTTTGCAAGTATATCTCGTACTTAGTATGACACTCCGCATTTCTATTTATTTGGGTTTGTTTATGCTGGTATATTTTTGTAGGATACTATCAAAAACTGGTAAAACCGAAACGAATGCGCATTATATAGCAAGAACAAGGGGATGAGTTTTGTGAAGCTTGGTGGTAGTGCCCAGGTTGATGTTCATGCTACGGTGCTTGATCTTCCTGCCAAGTTTTGTATTTCGTGGTCTGTGAAGGGAACGGGCCATGAAGGAAACTTGCAAGGTGGGAGAGCTGCTGCGGTTGTGAATAGAATGATGCAGAAGAAAGAACCGTCTAAACTGGGGGGTGAGGGCTGAGCACAGCGCTATTTTTATTTTTTATGTTTTTTTATCTTTTTATCCTTATCATTAAATAAAGTTTGTGTATGATTTTTTATTAAAATGCAAAAATTTGAAGCCCTTGTTATTAATTTATCTTTAAAATAATTTAACAAATATTAATTTTGAATGAATTTAAAATTTGTAACTTTAGGGAAGGAAAAAAAAAAAACCAAAAACAAAACCTCATGTTAGTGGGCAGCTTATGTTTAAATTCTTATTTATTTTCAAAAATATTTTAAATAAAAATTGTCACATCCCGGTTCGGGGCGAACACTTCTCGGGCCCGCTCCACCACCGTAGCACGATATTGTCCGTTTTGGGTCCCGACCATGCCCTCACGGTTTTGTTTCTAGGAACTCACACGAGAACTTCCCGATGGATCACCCATCCTGGGAATGCTCTCGCGTGCTACTCGCTTAACTTCGGAGTTCCCATGGAATCTGAAGTCAGTGAACTCCCAAAAGGCCTCGTGCTAGGTAAGGATGAGAATATACATATAAGGATTACTCTCCTGGACGACGTGGGATGTCACAAAAATTGTATAAATAGAAAAAGCTTGAGTTTCTTAAATACACAACATACAAATGTCAATCGTCACACACCTACTCGTGTGACCAGAGGCTAGTGAAATTAATGACCTCAATTTGTCCAAATGCAATTTTTTTTCTTTTGCTTTTGAACATAACCTAAAAAAATAACAAAAACCAGAATAATCATAACTTTGTAATCCTTTTTCTTTCAACTTCCTAGTCTTTCTATTTCTATTGAATATTTAAGCAACTATCACTTGGTCCAGAAGATTGTAATTTGAGGTAACCAAAACTTTGAATTTAAATTTTCTTTTTCAATAATTTATTGTTAAACTAGGTTATTCTAAAATTTGATTTGCTAGTGTGTGTCGATTTTAGAAAGAATACAAGAGAACCACTTGACGTTGTTGAATTATTATATGTTGAGAATCAATGTCATTTGTAGGTGAAGTAAGTGTGTGAGGTTGGTGAAGTAAGTGGAGGTTGTAGGTGAAGTAGGTGGATGTTGTAGGTGAAGTAAGTGTGTGGTGTAGCTTTCATTTGGTTTGCTATAAATACCCAAGTCCCAAGCATTGTATATCATCCAAGGAAAAACAAAGTCTAGAGCTAAATAAGAAAAGCTTTGCTAATTAGTTTGTTTTGTGAGTTTTCTTTAAGAGTGTGCTCTATTTTCTTCTTCTTGGGATCATTAGAGTTATCTTGGATACTCTTCTTATTCAACATTATATTCGTCAATCAAGTTTTGTTTTTTGTTACTCTCTTGATCATCAAGTTTTATTGCTCCACTCTCAATCTCTTAACTACAAACACTTAGTGTATTTGCGTCTAAAGACATGTGACATGTAATAGTAAGTAACGTTCGTATATCTTTTTTTTTATATTAATTTTTAATGATATTTGATGAAGAAATAAACTTTTTATATAATTAGCGGATTCTTTTTACTACATACCAATATACAAAGAGTCGGAGGTCCGAGAACTTTAGGGCCTCACTTTGAAAACTCGCCTAGAGCCCCCAAATTCTCAGGACTGGCCCTGATGAGTCTCTGGAAAGGAGCCAAAGGGCTAGTGCTCTTTGGATTTGCGTTTGAGAATATTATCATTTCTACTCTTCTCTGTTTGGTTGTGGAGAAAGTGTAAGAAAAGGGGAATTCAATTGAAATTTTGGGATTAAGGGAGAAGGGTTTCTGTTTAATAATGTTGTAATTTGGGGTAACAACAGCACGAGCACGGTTACGCGGTTAATTTCTAATTTTGATGCAGCCATTTCTGGATATAGTATGATAATCCATGAATATGCCTCAAGCAGACATTAGTTTTGATTTGAAATAGGAAGCAGATTGAAGATATTTGTATGCGGTTTGTGTATGTATGTCCGTCCAGGTCAATGCAGCAGCTCTCCAGCTCCAGAACCAGCAACTTAATCAGCAGGTAGACAAACAGAAGCTTGACTTGCAAGATCTGGAAGCGAAAATTCAGGAATTAAAGGATAAGCAAGGTTCTTATGATGATTTCTTAATCACAATGAATCAGCTATGGAATCAGGTTATCTCGGATGATTGATTGGTTTCCTTCCTTTTCATAGTCTCTATTAGGTATACCAGGATGACATGCACTTTTTGCTGACGGCGGTTTCATTATTTTGCTCTTTAGTTGGTTGAAGAACTAGAACTTCAGCTGCAGAAGTGTATAATTGCAAAAAATGACTTTGAGATAAACATGGAAGAAGCTATCCAGGATTCAGGTAAAAGTGTTATAAGTTTGATATTGTTGATATTAACTGTTAATTTACCTAAGCTTGTGGCACTGAAAATGCTCTTTGCTGCAGGAAGAAAGGACATTATAGCAGAGTTTCATGTGATGGTCTCATCTTTGTGTAAAGAAATGGGAGTGGTGGAAACTTTGTTGAAGCGGTGGAAGGAAACAGCTCATGAAACACTTTCTTTACGTGACAAAGCCCAATCAGTGAAAGCTTCATTAAGTACAAAGGTCTACTTCCATTCCCAGTTAACTCTCTCATACTCATATCGGTTGCACTGCTCTCTCATACAATCACATTGTTCTTGTTTGTGGTTTTGTGAGTGTTGCTTAGGTAAAACGTGGGTTGTCTAAATTGCTACATTTAAGAATGCGATTGTATTGCTGCAGGATTTTCATTTAATTTTCTGTGGATATTTTCATGTCTGTTGTCGGTTATAGTTTGAAAACCTGCAGCAAAGCGCGGGCATTCCTACTAGTAACAAACTATGATAGCCTAGCTAAGATATTGCTGAATGTGCTGCTGACATGGAGCTACATTGTTGATCTGTGTCTTCAGGATTTAAGTAGAAGAACATTTGTGGTTTCTGTCTTTTTTATTTTTATTTTATCACCTTTCAGCTTGTTTTTCTCTTGTTTGAGCTTCCCTGGATGTCTTTTTATTGTGTATGATTTTTAATTTTATCTATTCGTTTAGCAGACTCTTGGACCGGTGCCTGCATTGATTGAAATCAAAGAATGGCCAGACCTCTGCATCGAGGTTTGTTTAGGTTGCGTATGTATGGCAGTAGCAATGATTTTTTATTTTTGACTCTCAATGAAAGTTAAAGCAGATAAAGAAGATTTGGACAGCAGAGCTTCTTCTGATAACAATATTTTTGCATTTAGATTTCCTATTCGAGTAATTTCTCCGGACAATTCTCCTTCCGAACCTGGAAATACCGAAAATGGCTTTGTATCTGATCCCTTCATGGCTGGTACTCCCAGAAGTCGGCACAAGTTAACGCTGCTACCGTTGAAGTTAAAGTTTAGTTTTGATTTTTATTCTAACTCTTACCGGATCCTTTTGGCGGACACTCGCCATCTCAACAAGTTCAAGAGGTCACATATACCATGGATACCGGAGACTTCAACAGCAACTTGTTTCTGACCTGTTGCATATTGGAGAACTTTCTCTTGGTTCTTCAAGGTTAAAAGACTTGGAGTTTTGTCCTCGGAGTAAGAAAATAAAGTTCCATGCTTCAATGTTTCATTTTGTTCAGCCTCCTTGATGTTTAATGGTTGAACTAAAGACTTAAATAAAACCTAGCTAAAACAAAATTTTCATTTTCTAGTTGCAATCCGTAGAAAATGTTAAAAATCAGATCATCTTTTCAAAAGTTCCAACCAATCTCACCATATAGTCTTAAGTCATTTAGAATCAATTAAAAAAGAATTCACAGACTTCTTTCGGTGTAAAGTGAGCCATCATAGTTAAGGAGACTTGACCAAAACCTTTATCTCTTATCTCTTTTATTTGTATTCACACACTTACATAATCATTTTTTCAAAATTTTCTCTTTTTTATTTATTTATAATAATATTATATTATTATTTTCTTCAATAACAGTAGTGGTGGTGCAATGTTAGTTCTCATAAGCCTTCGATCCAACCCATGTAGCGAGCTTTAGGTCAATGACTCTCAAACCACTAGGGTTTTAAGACGCTAGGTGTGAAACACCCCTAAGGACTTATTAACTTGAGCTGAAAAGGCTACGAAACCAATTAACCATCCTGCTCCATGCCAAAATTCTACCGTTTGACGTGAGAATCACTATTGATTAGGCAGGATTGGTCCGATTACTTGGTATAAAGTCTCGGGTAGAACAATTATTACTTTACAACACATACTAACTTTATTTTATATATAACAAAAGTTAAAATGCACTTAGACTAAAAGTAAATGTTTCAATCTCACTCCTCATAATAAACCATGTTGGTGTGATGTGAAAATTTTCAAAGTATAATTTATGAATTAGTGTCTAAGCAACGATAAATAGAAAAAAACTCTACTGTGGGATTAACCTTTACCATGTCGATTTGTTCTAACGTTTAAAATAACTATGAATATTATCTTAAAAACGAAAATTTTTAATTGACACAAAAATATTAAATCCTAAAATTTTACATTCCCACCCCCAAGCTTATTTCACATTTTGTCCTCGAGGTGTGAAAAATAAATAAACTTATTTCACACTTAGGAGAATCATCAGAACCACATGCATCTCGAGGGTGACCCTTTTCAGCTAGTTTATGCGACTGGAAGCCCTTAAGAGGGTTCTTCTTTCTTTAGGTCTAGTTGTTTACCCTTAAGAGGGTTCTTCTTTCTTTAGGTCTAGTTGTTTATAACATTAAGCATTAGCTTCACTCCTTCAATGATTCACATGTGTCCTATTTTACTGCTCACACGCACGACACACACGAGAGCACCAGAAACCCTAGCTATTTTAATCCAACATTGGATACCCTTCTTACTTGCCCAGAGCCCAGAGCCCAGAGCCCAGAGCCTAACGGCTATCTTCTGTCCTTTCCATCTCCTTTTCAGACACAGAAGAATAATGATGTTATTTGTAAACCCCGAAACCTCTCGTTCTCTTTATTAAAATGAGAGACGTCTCCCTTCGCTCGCATTTCAAACCTATCCCTTTTAGCCCTCTCTCTCTAGAAAATCCGAAAAGGCTTTCTTTTCTCCATTTTCTCTCAAGTCCAGCGCCCATTCGTACAAACCTCCCATCTGCAGCTGCTCCTTCATCCTTGATGCAACCAATAACCCAGTAACAGACATGAGCTTCCGTGACTCTATAACCCAGCCATGGTGGAGTGAGCTGACAAGCTAAGATGCCGAAGGTAAAACCCTCCTCAATTTGTGTTATTTTCGTTGCAGCTTTATGTATGTGAGTGAAATGTAGCAAGATCTAACAGATGCATGTGTTTTTATCTGTACAAGGTCCCCCCAAACTTTGCAAATCTGAGAAAAACAACAGGAGTGACCACCCTGAGTCGCCAAATCCGAGAGCACAGAGGTCATCCAGCTTCCCCCAAACTTGCAATCTCAGCTGATCTACACCAAGGGTAAGAATCTCTCTCGTTTTCTCCCTGCAGTTAGCCCTGATGTGGTGGTTTCAGTGAAACTAACAAAACTAACACATTCATGCATAAATCGTCTTGGTAGGTTTCATAAATCCAGAACAGAGAAGAGGTGCCGACACACAATTGAAGGTCCATGTTCATAGATCCAAGAAAACGGAAGGTAAAAACTCTTGTCTTGACCTTTTTGAACTCCAATCTGATAGGATGCTGTTTATGTGCAAACTAAACTGGATCTAACATGTGTGTAGTTTCTGGACCAGTAGCCCGGATCTGTGTTTAAACATGGCTGCGTACAACGATTCCAAACCCAAGTGCAACTGGACAACAGGCCGCTCCTCTGTTGAAAATCCCAGATCCATTGATCTGGAAGGTATAAAATGCAACCTTGCTTGTTCTGTGATCGTGGATCTGGTATCAAAATCTGTTCAGTTCTATGGTGTAATGATTGGTGATATCTCTGTGTTCAACCTGCAAGTTTCCAATGTTTTTGAAAATTAAAAACAGAACTAAAATAAACTAGGTAAATAAAAAAAAACATATATTTTTTTAATATTTTTTTTTTTTGAAAACTTAGGTATGTAAATGCATCTAGAAATTTAAACTAATAATAAAATGGAAAATCAAACGAAAAATATATTAAGTAAAGGGTTTAGAAAAATTGGGTTGCCTCTCAATAAGTGCTTTATTTTAAGTCTATAGCTAGACTTGGCAGAGGTCCTGTGGCTAGATCACTGGTTCCTTCAGAGTTGATGGCTCGCTTACATTGAACTTCTCTATGAATGGTTTAAGTCGATGTTTGGTAACCTTAAATGCGAGGCCTTTACCCTCAGCCTTGATGTCCACGTCACCATTTTGAAAAACTTTAGTAACTACAAAAGGGCCTTTCCATCGAGAATCCAGTTTCCTTGGAAACTTGAAATTTGAACTTAACAACCACACTTTTTTACTAGGCTGTATTTTCTCACAACTTGGACTACCTCGCAACTTTTTATTCTTGCCCTTGACATTCGGTTGTTTTTGGTCAATCTGGTGGCCCAGATAGTTGTCAAACAAGGATGGTTCTGTTTTTTAACTTTCGTACATCAAGCAATTGGATTTTGCTGTTGCGCCTCAATACTATTGCAATCATGGCTTACATTTAAAGACTTTAGGGATAGATGGTCATTTGATGATCTGGTTTTACACTTGGCACGAGCTAAACCATCTAACACATCAATACGCATGCATTCATGTTTGTCACCTGAATGTGTGGCGACTTCAAACAAACTGAAAACAACTGTTTGATCTTCAACCCTTAATGTTAATGTTCCCGCTTCAACATCAATAAGAGTCTGGGCTTTTGCCATGAATGGGCAGCCCAATATGATGGGTGTTGTCAAATCCTCATCCATGTCCAGCACCATAAAAACCAATTGGCAAATATAAATTGCCAACCTTAACAATAACATATTCAATAACTCCTCTAGGATAGGTAATTGAACGGTTAGCCAATTGAATAATGGTGGAGGTTGGCTTCAGTTTGCCTTCACCTAAATGTTTAAAAATAGAATAAGGCATTAAGTTTACACTAGCGCCTAAATCAATTAAAGCACTACTAAAGTCACAATTTCCAATGGTGCAAGAGATAGTAAAACTCCCTAGATCTTTCTTCTTTGGAGGCAATTTGTGCACTAAAACTGCATTGCATTGTTCAGTTAGCACAATTTTTTTTGTTTCTACCAGCTCTTTCTTCTTGGTGCAAACATCTTGCAAAAACTTAGCATAGGAAGGAATCTTTTTAATGGCTTCCAACAATGGTAAATGAATTTGAACTTTAGCGAAGGTTTGTATGAAGTCTTTTAACTACTGAGTATTAAATGTTTAGGGTATGGTAATGGAGGGTCATAAACATGCTCAGAAACCTGTTTTGGTACAGTTTCTGCATTGGTCAGATTCTATTTTGCTATAGATGAAGTTGAAAGTCCTATATTGAAAATACAATTCACATTAGCAAAATTCTTTCAAAATATACTAAGAATAAGGTTAAATATATAATATAAAATCTACTCATCAATGGTGTTGATGACTACTCGCACCAAATTGCAAAAATTAATTAACATTCTTTTTTATGTGGTAGTTAGTTGGAATTGACATGTGGGTTAAAATGTCAAACATCACCTTTGGTAGCTTGGGTAATAAGCAGTTCAAATTGTTTCAAGCGCGTTTACATTTGTAATTTTACAGTTTTCATTTTTCATTTTTTTAATTAAATTGTATTCTTTAAAAAATTTAAAATTAAAAAAAAAAATTGAGAAAAGAGCCATTTTAGGCTTAACCAAAAGTGTGCTCTAATTTTAGGCATTTAGGACCAGAGCATTTGGTGTGACTAAGATTTTGGTGTTGAAGGAGGTTTCTTCTTTCGTTGTGGATATTTCTCCCTTTCTTATTTATAGTAATTGTTTGGCTACCAACATAAAGAGTAATCTTCCAAAAGCAAAAGTAAAATGTATAATTTACGGCGAAACGAAATTTGCCGTCGTCGCAAATGACAGTTCCTTGACTATGATACTACCAAGGTCGATCCCGACCACATGCCCCAGTTCTTCTCGATTGTAACTGTCAATGGGCGCAACGTCCAGACATCTAAAATGTTTAAGTCGTCAAAAGAAGCTTAACATGGAGCTACCAAGGTCATCGTCGACCATCTCTCATCCCAACCCGTAACCGATAACCAACCCATAATCCAGCGTTTACCTAAGGAAGAGGAAGGGTCGGTTATGGATTGGGATGAGAGGCGGTTGACGCTTGGCAGCCTCATGTTGAGCTTCTTTTGATGACCTAAACATGTCGACCGTTTGGAAGTTGCGCCCATTGATAGTTACAGTGGAGAAGAATTGGGGCATGTGGTTGGGATCGACCTTGGTAGTATCATAGTCATGCAACTGCCATTTGCGGTGTTGGCAAATTTTGTTTAGCCGTGATCTATACATTTTACTTTTGTTTTTGGGAGATTACTCTTTGAGTTGGTAGCCAAACAGTCATTATAAATAAGAAATGGAGAAGTACCCACAACGAAGGAGGGAACCTCCTTCAACACCAAAATCATGACTCTCCTAATTGTACTCACACTGAATGCTCTAGTCCTAAATGCCTAAAATTAGAGCACACTTCTGGTGAAGCTTAAAATGGCTCTTTTATTTATTTTAAAGAATACAATTTAATTAAAATGCAAATGCGCTTGAAACAATTTGAACTGCTTATTATCCGACCTGACAAGGGTGATCACCATCCTTTTTAATGTGGTAGCTAGTTGGAATTGAGATGTGGGTTAAAATGTCAAACATCACCCTTGGCAACTCGGGTAATAAGCAGTTCAAATTGTTTCAAGTGTGTTTGCATTTTTCAATTTTAATTAAACTGTATTCTTTAAAAATTAAAAAGAAAAGAGAAAAAAGCCATTTTAGGCTTCACCAAAAGTGTGCTCTAATTTTGGGCATTCAGTGTGACTAAGATTTTGGTGTTGAAGGAGGTTCCTTCCTCCTTTGTTGTGGATATTTCTTCCTTTCTTATTTGTAATAACTGTTTAATTACCAACTTAAAGCATAATCTCTCCTAAAAACGAAACTAAAATGTACAAGTCAAGGCTAAACGAAATTTGCCAACGCTGGAAATGGCAGCTGCCCGATGACGATACTACCAAGGTCGGTCTTGACCAGTTGCCATAGTTCTTTTCCATTGTAATTGTCAATGGGCGCAACTTCCTGACATTCGAAATGTTTAGATCGTCAAAAGAAGCTCAGCATGAAACTACCAAGGTCGTCGTCAACCATCTCTCATCCCAACTAGTAACCAATAACCAACCCATAATCGAGCATTTACCTAAGGAAGTGGAAGGGTCGGTTATGGGTTGGGATGAGAGGTGGTTGACGACGACCTTGGCAGCCTCATGCTGAGCTTCTTTTGACGACCTAAACATTTTGATCGTCTTGAAGTTGAGCCCATTGACAGTTACAATGGAGAAGAACTGGGGCATGTGGTCGGGACCGACCTTGGTAGTATTATAGTCAGGCAATTGCCATTTGCGGCGTTGGCAAATTTCGTTTAGCCGTGACTTGTACATTTTGCTTTTGGGAGATTACTCTTTAACTTGATAGTCAAAAAATTATTATAAATAAGAAAGGGAGAAGTACCCATAATGAAGGAAGGAACCTCCTTCAACATCAAAATCATGGTTCTCCTAATCACACCATGCTCTGGTCCTAAATGCCTAAAATTAGAGCACACTTTTGGTGAAGCCTAAAATGGCTATTTTCTCATTTTTTTAAAGAATATAGTTTAATGAAAACTATAAAAATACAAAAACAAATGCGCTTGAAACAATTTGAACTGCTTATTACTACCTGAGCTACCAATGTGATGTTTGACATATTAACCCACATCTCAATTCCAACTATCACATAAAAAAGCATGCTCCAATTTGGTGCGAGTAGTCTTCAATATGCAACAGGTCAGAAACAAGTCGTTGGTAGCCTATGTGACCTCTTGAAAGGATCTTAGTAAGAGCTAGAATAAAAATCAAAACTTAACTTCAACAATAGCAGCGTTAACTTGTGCCGACTTCTGGGAGTACCAGCCATGAAGGGATCAGATGCAGGTATTTCCACGTTTTTTATATGTTTGGCTATGTGATAGAAAGTGTTCCTATTATTTTTAACATATTTCGATTTGTATATTTTGTTCTTGGAAATTGCTTCCTCTGGCTCTAATATGGTGTCGCATTGTTTCAGGTACAATGCCAAGGAACAGGTTTTTAGGTGGATTCTTAAGATTTTAATTATGACAATAGTTTTATTTTAATTTCATTTTTGGTTTGTAATTTTAATTTTCTTGAACTATGCATGATTTTTGTGTTATGCTATTTCTCGTCCGTGTTATGCTATTTCTCGTCCCATCACTTATATTTGAGATCATTACTTTTGCTTATAACCATGATTCGGTATCAATATTATAGGATTATAGTCATCATTAATAGTTAATACTTATCAAAGTTGGTAATTGGCAAGGAAAATTGAACTAGTTGTACTTGTACTTCCCATGTCTCACTCTTCTTTGTAAACGGTGATTAGGTTATTGAATCGATAATTTGTCATTAATAACTGGTTGATAACCAATACACGCGTATTTTCACAATTTGAATGAATGATTATGATTAAATAATTGAACCAAAAATTTATCATTGATTGAGGATTAATAGTGGATAACCGTTGTCAAAGAAAGTCGATCTCCACTTTCTTTAGGGATGTAGTCAATTTGGATTTGGATGTTAGTTAAATTAGGATTTAAAGAATACATCCAAATCCATCGATAATGGCTTGCTTGGGTCTTTCTTAATTTGATCTGATTGCAGTTCGCCTACATGATCTGATTAGTATATACTTGTATGGATGACTCATTTGGTATGTTGCATATGTCCCGTAAATCTTGATGAGGAGGGCCTTGGTAATCCATAAGGTATTGGTTACGCTGATTCGTGTGTTGCTAAGATGTTCTGGTTAAACTAGTTCAATGTTT